ACTGGAGGAAACACAGGAGGTAAGTATAACAGGCATGTAAGTCTTTCAATGTATGTCACGGATAGCATAGAGAGAGAGTCCACTTCGTTGAAACGAGACCGGACACTGGAGTGAAGTGAGGTGTGTGCTTTTGAAGGGGAGCTGATGATGATTGCAGATTTGTGACATGTGCGCGTGATCAGTATTCAGGTGATGGTTAGGGCTGGGCAAAAAAATCGATTTTCCGATTAATCGTTTTTTTAAATGACGTCAATTCGATATCGATTCTCAAAAGCCGCGAATCGATCTTTTCCAGTATTTATTTCAGCACACATTTAAAACAAGATCTGATTAACGTGAATCTTATCATTAGTCTTCTCCACTAGATGTCACCCTTATTTACCTTGCGCGATGTTACAACAGAAATCCTGTCATTCATTCAGCACTTATGATGGCCATACGCGCAATTCGCAATGCTCAGGTGAAATGCTATAGTAATACTATAAATCTGCGGAAGCATTTGATATCACGCATAAGGCACCATGATTTCCGCAATGAATGAATGGCGGATGGTGCGGTGCACTTTTTTGTTCACTACACACATACTAAAGCGCGGATGACGCTCGCGGTGTTTTCATTTTCTGCCATCTCACTCTATGATGATATGAACACGAATGTCATGTCCAGCTGCTCTGAGAGTCACTTCATTAGCATTTACCGTTTCATTTGAGAAATCTACCGTCATATCACATACACAGCAGCTGGAAGTTCTTCACGGCAACCCATCAAAATAAAAGTTTAGTTTAACGTTCTACTGTCAGAATATATTACTATTTAGCAGTCGTAAGACTCAATGCTACTACTGCTAATAAATATTAATAAATCTTTATTTTTAAAGGAATAATCACATCTGTTTTTTTATTTTTTTATTTTAACAGTAAACCTCTGTTGTGCAGTACTTTGTTTGCCAAAAAATAAAAGGGTTTAATTTTCAATTGATTAGGATAAATTAAATTAATGTTTTATGCCTTCATCTGATTACCAGAAAAATTAAGAACATTTTATAGGGCCCTATTATTGTTTAAAAAAGGACCCTATACAAAAAAAAGAATAGGTTTAAAATACAGGCATGTGGTTCTTAATTTCTTTTTATTAATTCACCATTTGTAAACTGATGTTTACTGTTAATTTTTTAGAAATATCAATAGCATTTGTATTAAAACTATATTCACTGAATTCATGAGATGATGACTCCAGTTATTTCAGTGACCTGTTTTATTTTACATGGCCATTTCGAGATCACATATCCAAAGACTTGCGATCAGTCTTTGCAAAACCCATTATTTTAAATATTGAGGGGATGTGCCTCCCTCGATATCTGCGTGGTCATGCATGCATGTGACTTCCTCTCTCAGAAAGTCACATAGACCAGCAGTAACTATTAAAATCTTTTATCTTTTAATCTTTCACTTTATGCTTGTTAATCCTGACTGCAGTCTATTTGACAGGCATCCTTGTCCCTGGTAGACCTCTCCATGAGACCGAGTTTTCATGTTGGCTTTAGGTCAGACATGCCTAAAACAGATTTTAAATTAGAGTTAATTTTATACATATTTTAATACTTCTGTTAAAGGTTTCATTTGAAGGAATGAAACAATAGAGTTACATTGATGTCTTATTGATAATTTATGGTGCAAATAATGTCCCTACATATAGTTATGAAAAACAGAGGTAAATCAGTTGTCATTGCTTCTGGAGATGTCTCAGAGTTTTTTTTTTTTTTTAAGTCTAATATCTGAACCAGTGCCACTAGCAACTTTCTTTGTTATAATAAGGACTTTTTTCTAGACTTAATTTGCAATTTGTAATGACCTTTTGTGAAACTTCATACTGAATCTGTGTAAATACCCATCATTGTGTTTATTAAGTGTAGGCAAGTGATACTTTTTAGAAAAAAAATCACAACATTGAGAATGTTGTGATTTAGATTTGCATATGTAATGAATGTGTAGGTATCCTTGGCTAAAGATAATCCTCATATCTCTTGCTAAAACACAAAAAGGGAAAGGAGGTAGTGAGTGAGAGAAAGAGAGAGAGGAAGAGATGAGAATTGTGTTTGTAATTATGAAACACCTCTGTGATTGTGCTGAATGCACGGCATGGCAAAATGAATCATTAAACTGGGCATGATAATGCAGGAGTGAGGAGCTTCTGGGTAGAGAGTTGACCTAACACATCTGTGTGCTGTTGAAATCTAGATCAAGAATACAAAAGAACATGCAAATATCCCCAGAACTTCTACAGAATATGTCAGAAAACTTTTAAAATCTCTTTTTTTCCCCATGTGATGTATTATTTCATCTTTTGTGCGCATTTTGAATTATCGCATCAGAATCGAGAGATGGAAACGCTGAATTTCAAATAAAAATGCCTTAATTCGCAAAAAAGTTTTTACGCTTGCTTGAGGTGGTTTTTGACTTGTGCGAAAAAGGGTTAATGCGAATAATGGGAGATGGAAATGCATTTTGCGAATAAATTCCTCCAAGCGCATCAAAAAAGCCATGTGACTTTGCGCTATGGGACGGCAAATCCTGCTAACCAGTGGACCGACCTTGTTCCACAGCATCTGAAATGTTGTTATATGGTCATTCGGAAATGCCCGAGCAAAGTCTGTCATCAAAGTATTTCTGTATAATTGCCTCCCAGAACTGTTAAACGACTGCGTTCCCAAACAGCAGCATCCACCTCCGAAAACAATAACCGCATTCATTGTGTTTCGTCTGCTGGTTCTGAGGTGCAAGTAATTTATTATATAGGAAAATTATTATATTCAGTAGCTTCTCCTACTTTTCTTAGTGATGTATAGTGCCAGTTTATCAGGAAGTGATGATTTTGTTCTCTTTGACTCGTTGGATGGAAACGGTGCTTGTTCGCAAATGTTTTAATCGATATTCAAATTTTGCGCACAAGTTAAATTTGCAACTTTGGATGGAAACCTGGCTATTGATATAAGATGTTTGTATACATCCTTGAGTAATCAGAACAGCTTCAGTTCATCCTGTCAGTGTTTTGGTGTTCATTCTGGTTATTATTTTGATTATTACCAATTTTGTAAATATTAACTTTAATATTAATACATTTTAATCTTAAATATTAAACTTTGTTTTTTTATGTTTTATTTTTAATTTATTTGCACACATGAACAATATTTTCAATTTAATAACCTGCCGTTGTGATAATGGCTTGGAAGACTTCTTGTAGATGATAAAACTTTACCTTTAAAATGTCTAAATAGAAGCTCCTAATGTCTCCAAACAGCACATTTTTGAATATTATAAGATAGGTCAAACACTGTGGCACTTCAAAGAGCTCTTTTTTTTCTGTCTTACTTTCACTTCTGAGTATCACACTGACTGTGGTGTCGTTCCCTCAGAGTGCCTTTTTGCCCTGTTTTTAATGATACACTCCACATCTCTTAGAATCTGCCCTCACCATTAACCCTGAGACACTTTTTGACCCTCACACTGTCTAAGGACCCATTAGACGGGACTGGTCGAGGGGTACATTGATGGATGCTGCTTCTGTCCCTATTGCCTGCATACATTTTCTGCTCCCACACACGCAAATGTCTAAAAATGAAAGGAGGTCATTACTGAGGGGCTCAGGAAACTTTATTATAGAAAACCTCTACTGGCACAGATAATGTTAATCATATGACACTGTCCCATGTGTCTCAAATGTCCAGCACTCTTGAATGTCAGACACATTGTATGAATACACATTCATAATGTAATGGCACAAAATAGGATTTATTTTGAAATTAAAAGGTCAGATACTAACACAGAGTAAGTCAGAGTACATTTCAATGCTTGCAACAGAACTGATATAGAGTAATTCTGAATATAAACTAAGAGTTGCTGCAACTTCTAGGAGGTGCTAACATATTGCTTTTTGCTTGTTTTTTCGCATATAGATCTGGCAGTCTTGCGAGTTTCACTGACAGACTGTGAAAATGCATTTGCATTCTCTTATTTTTTTCGTCTTGGGTTATTTAGATAAAATAAGCTGATGTTTTGGGTCTCTAGGTCTTTATTGTTCTTGTTTCATGTCTCTCTCTCTCTTCTTCTCTGTCAGCTCCAGTGATTGTCACTGCTGGACTTTTTATATTTATCTGCTGGAGATCAATAAGACAGCTCCTGTGGTGGTCTTTTCTGTTGGACCAAACAAATAATTGTTTGCTTGACTGTAAAAACATCACTTTAAATGCCATATTTCATCCACACTTCAGTGGTAAGCATTATAGCTGGTTGATTGCGCTGAAGACAGACCCTTTGTAAATAGGCCCATGTGTGTGGGCTGCCTCTAATCAGAGGTGGAGTTTTTAAGCAAAGCTGAAACTGTTTTATCGTTGTTTGATCTTGACAAGTATGTATCTGATCTTACATGCATAACCAAAAAGTTTTGCTGCTAGCCTGAAGCAGATGTTCTCTGATGGCCTGAGCGCTTACGCAAAGTGATTTTACTTGATATTTTATTGTTTAGTTAAAAGGTTACCAGTGTTATTTTAGTATTAGTTATAAACTATTACAGTATTAATTAAAGCTACACTATGTAACTTTTTGCCCACTAGATGTTAAAAAATACATCTGCATGCTTCTTAAGGAAGAATGTTGTTTTGGTTGTGAAGAATGTCTGCTATTCCCAGTGAAATCTGTCTCAACTGCTCTGAAGTATAAATAATTATTTTAGGTGTATAAGTGTATAGGTGTATTTGGGTAAAATAAAGGTATGGTTTGGAAGATTTGGATTTTTTTTTTTTTTTGCACTCAATATTTTTCAATACTCTCAAATCTGAATTCTCAGCACTCCAGTCTTCAGTGTCACATGATCCTTCAGAAAACATATTTATTTTTATTTATTTTCACTTTTAGTATTAGTAATTTTGGTATTTCCACTTTATTATTTATTTCAGTTATCCTGTACTAATTGATCTAAAATTGATCTAAATCTTCTCTCTCTAGCTCAGAACTGTTCAGGTCATCGTACATGTGGTCAGTGCCTGGAACATCCTGACTGTGGTTGGTGCGGAGACCTTACAGACACAGGTCAGGGTCAGTGTATTGAGGGATCATACCGTGGACCAATGAGGAGCCTAAGCAGACAGAGCCGAGAGAGGGGATTGGACACCAGTATCTCTTCAAGGGAAAAGGGCTATGACTGGGCCTACATAACCTGCCCAGGTAAACATAAAAACACACATGCTCAAACCTGTAAATTATGTTGTGTGTGAAAACAGTCCAATCAAATGAACACACACTCCTCTCACTGTATGTTTCAGCATGCCAATGTAACGGGCACAGTACGTGTGTTAATGGCAGTGTATGTGAGCAGTGCAAGAATCTCACAACTGGGCTGCAGTGCCAGATCTGTCTACCTGGTTACTATGGAGACCCCACAAATGGAGGGAAATGCCAAGGTGAGATATATGTACAAGTGTGTGTCTGTCTGTTTGTGTACTTGTTTGTATCTGCGCTTGAAAATCAGAGTATGACTCTTGAAGGAATAGTTTGTGCACCCAAAAAGGAAGTTTTTTTGCTCATCTGCTCCCTCTTTCAAACATGCATGATTTACGGTGTACTCACACTAGGCGTTTTGAACCGTGCCCGAGTGCGTTTGACCCCCAAAGCCTGGTTCGTTTGATTAGTGTGAGCGCTCCGTGCTGCGCTCGGGCGCGGTTCGTTTAGTCGGCCCTGGCCCGGTTGGAAGAGGTGGGCCAGGGCACGGTTCGGTTGGGCTCGGGCTCGGTACGCATGCAGTGTGAGCGCTAACCGCGCCGGAGCACGGAACAGATACTATTTTGTGTGCGCTACTGTCATCATTACGACCGCAAACATATTCTATTACTACTACTACAATACACTTTTCAATTTATACTTTTTAATTGAAGTATATTTAGGTTTATAATGGCTCTGGTTCTTACCTTATTGATGAACAGGAAATGTAGTTTGCAAGTAAAGCTGCAAGTTATTTCATTAACGTCAGCTGCCTCCATAATAATTTTCTGATACATATAAGTGAAAATCAATACACACCATAAATTATAAATTAATTATTTGGCAGAATATTAGCGAAAGTGGTTTTCTCCGTTATTTCATACATGACGTAAGCGTGCTCCAGCCCGGAATGTTTATTGGAAGTGTGAGTGCAGGCCAGTAGGGGAGTGGGGATAATCGCGCTCGGGCTCGGTTCAAGGCAACCGTGCCTAGTGTGAGCACACCCTTAGTCTCTGTGGAACAACATACATTTAGCAGAATATCCAGATGTTGTTTTCCATACAATGAAAGTGAATAATAAATATGGCTGCCAAGCTACAATCAAAACAGAAGCCACAGAAGTAGTCCATTTAAACGTGCCATACATTCCAAATATTTAAACGACAGCTTGATGTGAAGAACAAAGCAAAATTTAAGTGCAAAAGTGACATTTTCCTGATATGTACCATTCTTTTGTTCCGTTTCTGTTTGACTGACTGACTAGAGCGAAGCTAATACTTAAAATTTTGTATAAATGTATGCATGCATGGAAGGACTTGACTGACCAACAGATTGCCACTATATTTTTTATTTGAATGCCATTCCATTTTGTTTCAGACCAATTTAACCCCTGGTTCTTACATACTGTATATCGTCATGACAGGGAGTGTGAATTCTGTGCAAATTTGAGACGGTGCAAGGCAAGCTAATGAGTGAGTCTTTCCAGTTTAGCCTGGTCAACCTGCTAAATAACTCCTTTTCCATGGAAGAAAAAAGAATCATATTGGTTTGGAAAGGATTGAGGCGTGAGTAGAGGATGTGAGAACTTTCATTACTTGTTAAACTATGACTTTAAGGTGTACATGTGGCCACACACTATTTCAAACTGAAATCGATGCAGTAGTTAATTCATAAACAGTCTGCATGCATCCAGATGTACCAGAGGATATCCCAGTGTCCCCATCTAATTTTGTTGTAATGGTTAGTGTGGCCATATTTCATTACGAGTGCAGTATTCAACCTGACGCAAATTGTATTGATTTGATGTGGGCTCCTCGTGTTAGTTCTTCACTGTGGCTTTTCTCCCAGTTTCCAATCACTGAGTTTATATACAAGCTTCATCACTCTTAGAGATGAAACTGCAGCGAGAGCGAGAGAAAGGCAGCAAAGAGGCGCAAGGAAGGTGGTGTAATAACATCATTCTCTGTCGGACAGATGTGCGTTTTCTCCACATTCTGTGACATTAAATCACTCTTAATCATTTTCTTATTTCCTGGACTTGACTGCCACCCCACCTCCTCGTCTATACAAGCAGTCCAGCGCTCACAGCGGAGATTTGATAGATGTGCGGCCCTCCACATCTCTCAAGGATACACGCTCTCCCTCTCCATTTCTCCTCCCTGTTGAATACCTCCGTGATTAAGAGTGCTTTATTGACTGCGTCTTGGTGTAAATGCGCACACGTGTTTAATGCTTGGATTGTGGCTGCCGCTTTTACAGCAGTGTCATTTTTCAGAGTTAGTGAATGGAGGAGATTTACCTCACCTCGTACACTAATACGTTTAAACCACTGATCTGTGTTAGATTAGACGAGGAGAGATGGAGAGCAGACCACTGTGTGGAGAGCAGGGAAGGCTGGATGGATATCTCTCACCGAGTGTGTGCATGTGTTGTCTGAAGGAGAAAAGAGACAGGCCATCAAAGTAAGATCAGGGTAAAATATGACACGTGGCCGGCTGCCCTTGACGAGAGAGAAAAAACAGTCTGTGGAAGATGGAGGACATGTGTCCTTTTGAAATGGCCCACTTAGTTAAAGGACAACAGAGGGCAGACAGAGTCCTGGGATTTTGTGTATGTACAGTATGTGTGTTTATTTATTTGTTTGAGTGATGTAGTTTGGAATTCATGCTTTTCAACTGAGAGCTGTGACCTGCTGAGGTCTGTCTTTTGTGCATGTACATACTTGTATGTGTGTGGGCTTGTTAGGAGTAATTTTATACCATGGTAACGGTATGTAGCACAATAAAATGGTT